TTCATAGTGGTTGTACTAGTTTACATTCCCACCTATAGTGTAGTAGAGCTCCTCCCCTCAACCTTGCCAGCATTTGTTATTGTTAGATTTTTTGATGACAGCCATTCTTTCTGGGGCAAGATGGTATCTCAGTGTAGTTTTAATTTGCATTCCTCTGATGGCCAGAGATGAGCTACTTCACTGTCATAAAGAAAGATAAACTTAAGACATTCGTAGGTAAATGGATGCAACTTGAGAACATTTGTTAAGTGAAATAAGTCAGACGCATAAGCTGAAATATCGCAGTTTGTTTTATATGAGAAACACAAAGAGCAAATTAGAAGAGAGATAAATAGAAAATAGGGAGAAGTTCAAATACTTCCCCAAATATCAAATTCCATTGTTTTAAAAAACAGTTCAATATCCTAATTGATTTCATTTTTACTATGAGTTTAATGTAGTTCACTGACAAAAAAGATTTGTTCTTTTTTGTAAGAATTTTTTTGGACTATGTCTTGTTCTCTGAGTAAATACTAAGAAAAAAATGATACACAGTGTAATAACTATTGTATTCTCTTATTTATGAAATTTTATTTTTTCATAAGATTCATGTTTGATGTACCTTTTGTGGCCAAGCTCATCAATGTGAGAAGGGATTACAAAGGACATGGATATCAGTAGGCATGATTCACTGGGGATCATTATTGTGACAATCTAACACAGGTATAAAAAGTGGCACATTATTTATGGGCTTAGTTTTTTGTTTCAACTAACTGATTACATTCTCCCTTGACTTTGCTAAAACCCTCTCTAATCAGTAGTCGGCCAAACCTATACTGCCTAAAAACTTCCACCTAGGGCTTGCAGACTATGTGAAGGGTCAGATAAATGTCTTGGCATTCATGAACCACACAATCTCTGCAACTTACTTTTGCTGTTCAAGAGTGGTAGTAGCTGACAGATAATACCTATGTGAATGGGCATAGCTGTGTTCCAATAAAACTTTATTTACACAAACAGATGGTGGGCCAGATGTGACCTGTGGTCCTTAGTTTACCAATTCCTGATTAATTATAATTCTCTAGATTGTCAAAAATATTGTGTATTGCTGCTTCTGAAACTTGAAAATGAAACATCATTTTTGTAGAAACTTATTTCACCAAGGGAACTGATCAATGTATGCATGCTTATGTTCCATAACACTTTTCATCTAATTGTTTAAAAATCAAACAAATGCATAAAATGTTTTCTAAATATGTTTTAAGAGTCATAGTAAAAGCTGTGTTCAAGGAATAAAATGTTACAAGCTGGTTCAGTGGTGGAGGGGCAATATAATATAGACAAGGAGAGTGCAAACTTGACAGCCAGACTGCCTGGCTCTACTACTAACTAGTTGTGTGACCAGAGCCAAGTTATTTAATGTCTCTGAGCTTTTGTCATTTCATCTGAAAGCAGGACAACAGTCCTATTTTATAGGGTTACTGGGTCATTATGAAGAATGAATGAGTTCACATAAAATATATTACATTAGTGCCCAGATCATAGTAAATGTTCAATTAAAATGATTAAATATCAAAATGCCATAAAACTAAATAAATGATAATTTCTAAAGAATGAGCCACGTTTGGTGGCCTATAATCCCAGTGCTTGGGAAGCTGAGGCAGGAGGATCACCATGAGTTCAAGGTGAGCCCGGGCTACATAGTGAGTTCAAGGCCAGCCTGAATAGCATAGCAAGACCCTGTCTCAAAATAGAAAAAAAAAAAAAAAGTGTATGAGTTTTCAGGCTCATAGTGTTGGGGTATAATTTCAAGACTTTCTAAATGAAAATTTAACATAAATTGGTTTAGAGTAATTTCAAAACTATTGAATTTGACGTCACAAGCAGGTACTGCATAGATTTGGTAGCTTATATGAAGCATCATCAGATACCAGGAAGAAGATATACAGGTACATAATACATTTTCAGATTTGTTAGAACTTTAGAAAAAGAGCTTCTTTAAAAGATGTTCAGTTATCCAGTAATAGTCTCAAAATTAGCATCTAGTGGCAGCTAGACATTGTCCATTTTCCCTCATGTGACAAAATGTCGTAAAAGTTGCCAGATATGTGACCTATTGTTCTACCCAGACCATATAAATAAGACTGTCCTTGCTGCTGCAGCAGGGAAGCTGCTAGGGTGGACAGACAATGCTGTTTGCTGTGCTGTTTACCGCTATGCTTTAGTAGAGCCAACAATGGCTCACAGTGCCCTGCATTCAACCCCATGGTCAGCATTTCCTCAATGAGTCACTGTGTGACTGTGCTATTTGTCCCTACCTCACTGACTGGGGACTGCATCACCAGTTAGTACTTCTGAGTGTCTCTGCTAATGGCTGGGGACACTCAAGGTTCCAATACACTATCTTGGGCAGGACTCACTGAATCAAAGCCACTTTCACACTTTCCTGTGTAATGGTTTGACATCAGTAATCAGGACAAATACAGTGACTGTCTCATCATGTGAAGTGATACTAAAGTTGAAAAATTTCCATCTATCAACCAGAACTGTATTTCTATTAAGTAAAAGCCTGGGAGGAAAATGCCCCGTGGCTGTTATTTATTGTGGCTAGAATCTGGGGAAGATGATTGAGTGAAGGTGACAAACAGGAGAAAAGTTCAGCTTGCAGTGTGGAGAAATGGGACATGCCATCCCAGAGCACAGGGCACAAAGGCTGCCTGTTGCTTGCCAGGGGTGCATCAGCTGAGGTTGGAGGGATCCATTTCCACAGCCCAGCACAGGGCAGCACCAGCTCCTGGGGCGGGGTGCGGGGGGGACTCTCTAGCTGCCACAGGATGGGCAGGCACACGGCTTGGGGACTGAAGCAACCCCGTGACTGGCAATGCAGGAAGCAGGCCATGGCTCTTGACATATCACCCAAGGATTCCTTGTTGCTTCTCCTTTTCTTCTGGAATTCAGGGAAAGGACCTGAGAGAGGTAGAAGTCTTAGAACTCAGCTGACTGTAACCCCAGGCTGCCGTAGACTACACAATGATTGAGCATGTATTAGCAGGAGAAAAACAAACCCCCTAAGAACAATGAGGGCTGTTCTCATCGGCGTTGCACCTTATCCCGGCTTTGGCCAGAGCATAACATTCAAGCTCACTGTGGTCTTCCTGGGTGTGTAGAGCTTCAAGAGTTAGCTAGAATTTTGCTGTCTCATGAGTTAAGGGCTTCCATCTTTCTCCTAGGAAGCCAGGGCCAATGATATCCTATGTACAGGCTTTGGACCCTTTCTCTTCTTACAGCTTTGTATAATGGTCATTCCACTGTAGTGAGCTGTGGAATCACCTGGAGGACTGTTACAACACAGACTCCTGGGCCCAGTGCCAGGATTTGACTTAGTCATCTACCACGTTTCTAGGTTGTGATGCTGCTGGTACGATCACATCTCCAGGATCAATGATCTTGAAGAAAAAAAATCTATTTCTGTATCTATAAACACACATACAGCAAGCAGTCTGGGTACTATGCTGTGTGAAGGTTTTGTGCTAGTTATTCTCTAACCACAAAAGAATTTCTTGCTGGGGATTTAGCTCAGTGGTTCCAGTGCCTGGCACGCAAGCGCAAGGTCCCGAGTTCGATCCCCGGTACCAAAAACCAAAAAAAAAAAGAAAAGAATTTCTAAGCTCATTTTTTGAGATGTGCGTCTTCCATCCACATCCACTACTCTGTTCCTATATCATTATATAAAAGGGCTCTGTTCACTTTAAAACATACTTAAGTAGTTTTTAACATCTTTAATAGATCTCAATTAGTAAACTGAGAACTTTGAAAATATCTTCTGTGCATATGCCCACCCACTGGCACACATGCTATCCAATTTCATTTCAGCTGATAGCACGGTAGTTCTGGAAGATAGCTTTTGCTGTGTTTTAGCATCTACATATAGTTTTTTTCTATCATTAATGGACTAATTCACGAGTAAACAGAACAGTCTTCTGGTATTGACAAGATTACAATAGAATCTAACATCACTTATAACCTTGTCCAGCTTTCAAGGTTCAAAGTGGTCATTCATCTTGAAAAGTACACTCTAAGACAAGTGCTGGCAGTCATGAATTCGGGAGATGTAGACCTCCAAGAAATGTCCAGCAACTTAAGTGAGCAAGGAAAGGACTGAACAGACGGACCTGGAGATTGATACAAAACAAAACCTTTCAATGACTAGTATGGCTTACTTCAATTAAATGTTTTATTTTCTCTGTTTATTTTTTTTTCTGGAAATGGGGTAAAGTATTCTGAATTAATTAAAAGTTCAAATTAAGCAAGGTTGTGGTATGACTGCAGAGAAGGCTCGAGAAGGAAGAGGGAGTGACTGAGGAAGAGAAATGCTGCTGACAGGTGAGCTGTAGCACAATTCAAGTTTATTCCATTTGTTCTTGCAACACAAAACTTAAACACAGTATTATTTAGCATTCGGATGTACATGAACTAGGATACTTATGAGAAACTCAATTGTGTCAAAAGTATGACGCTGTGAAAAAATGAACTCAAATATATCAAAAATGCACAAAGCACTAGTCTTCCTCCATTACTGCTTAGAAAGGTATGATTGTTTCTCCATTTACAAAATAGAATCAGGACGATTTAATTTTTTAAAATTTTGCATGCAAAACACTGCAATTGCTTATTTATGTAGGAGGGCACTCTTATCAGCTTCTTCTATACACAATTGAATATAAGATATTACATGGAAGAAAACAGCAGCTTAGTTCAAGTTTTAGGAAAAAAATCAATTAGGTACATATAGATTAAAAACCCAGTACCTGGGGAAAGAAAATGAATAAAAGGCCTACTTGTTTGCAGCTTCTACACAATGCACCTACCAACTACGTACTTCTATGCCCAGCTGGGTTTAGAGGGGTGAGCTGTGCACAGAACTACTTAGGACACTCAGGTGCTGTCTTTGACTCCATGTCTACAGAAACCAGCCTGAAGCTGTGGGGGAATTTGTTAGCAACTATTGTAACAGGCAGACCACCTGTTTTTACTTGTCATAGTGCATAAGAAATGACTCAATGATTTAATACAAAACTACAGAACATGCAAGATTTTGTCTAAGATGTTAAATAGTACTTCAGTGGAGAACAAAACTAACCTTTTGCTAATGCATGTAGTACCAAAAAGCAGACATGGTTTTAGCTTCCTTTACTCAAAATATAAACATTAAGTGTTCTGAATTTCTCTGCCAAGTGGTTCAGAAGTACATTATAAATAACCTAGTTAAAAAAAAAAAAAGAAATTGCAAACCATCTTGGCCAGTCTATTCTATTGTATGTGTATATGTAATTTACTCAAGCAATTGCTTCATAATTATGGGGTTTACAAAGTGACTGAAAAAGAAGAGGGAAGGCTAAATAGCCTCTACTGCATTATAAGGAACATCAGGATAAACTGTACAAAGAATCACATGGTTTCAGTACCATAATGACTTTGAAAGCAGACCAAGTTTAGGAATGCAAGGACAATGCACTCTCTGCAACAGCCAACTACAACAGAACACTTTGAAAGCAAACGTGAAAACTGTGTAAAGGGAAAAATTCAAGCCTTTTAAATAGCATTATGCCAAGAGGTGAATACAAAGATAAAAAAACATCCTGTTGCACTATGCTGACAGCTGTAGACTGATAGAGTGCCCTCCATTTCCAATCAGGATGTCCAGCTCTGATACGCTGCATTAAGACAGCAGAGTTAGCCAAATATATCAAAGTATTTAAACCATTCTGTGATTGTGGTTTTAGACACAGGAAAATTACAGGGTTAGGCTAATTCAAAGTGAAAAAGCCACTGGATAAAAAGGGTTCATGGGGGAAAAAAACCCACACACACACACACACACACACACACACACACACACACAAGCTCACTCACTTTTACATCACCAACCAATTAGCAACTGATCAATAAAACTTACTAGTCAGGCTGACTGTTCTTATTAGTTTAACCCTGCTTTACAATGCTACACTGCCTTTAAAAAAATCATTGGTTCTTTATTATCCACAATCTGAATATAAGTCCCCAACCTCCCTCCCCCTTTAAAAATTTGAGGTACATTCAATTATTGCATGACTTGGCTAAGGAAAAATTCTAATATTTTTAGTAAGCTTATATGGATGACAATTCAAAAAATCTTAATATTTCAAGTGCCAGATATCAAATTTAAGGTTATACGTTTTAATTTTACTGCTCATGAAATAAACACCTGGAGATGTGCCCAATTCTGCAGGTCATAAGGACCATTTTAGGGCACTGTACTCTAAGAACACAGAATATATTTTAAAGTTATCACAAATTATGCAATGCATGATTTATAAGAGAAACAAAATTATGTTGTGCAGGTAGGTTGGCATATGTCCAGCAGAAATCTACCAACGACTCAGGGAAACCTGGTAACAAGCCTATTTCTGAACGGATGGGGTTCAATTTTTCCAATAGTCAATCTTGACCTAGTGACAGCTTTGGTGCACTACGTAATCAGCATTAAGATGGGTCAGACAGAGGTGTTCTAAGAATGTTCCTTGATTCTCCAAACTTAACTGAAATCAACTCAAACAGCAAATGAAGGAAATCTGTAGGTACTACAACAACTGTTCTCTCTCTATATGATACTAACACGCTCATGGCTATGATTCTATTTTTAAACCCCTTTTACTATACCAGCAGGAATCTGAAAGTGTTTCAATGTTATATAAATGTCTGAAGCTAGAGGAGAAAAAAATACAGATATACTGGAATGATTTCTCCTTTAGACTTCTAAATTTTAAGATTTCATAAATAAAACTAGTCAGTTTTATCTAAAGAGATATTAAATCCATGTGAAAGGGGAGAGAAAATCCAAAGTTCAGTCATCCAGCAATTTAGGAGTGTGCCCCTCCTCACCTTAACTGAACTTTCACTGGAAGCTGAAGTCATGAGGGAAGATTTGGTCACCAACCACAGGCGGTGCCCATACTGAGCAGGAGACCCCTGGAGAGTGCATGCTTAAGGCAGAAGGCTGGAGCGAGTTGCTTATCTCAGCACCCTAAGTTACCTCGCAGCAGCCGCTACTGCTCACAGTTAGGACTGCTGAGTAAGTGGAGTTGGCCTTTTATAGAATCAGACCTTCAACACAATCTAATTTATGGATTAGCTAGGGAGCTGAAAGGTCAAATGTTCCCGGTACAGTGTCTTTGTTCTCTCTTGGGTCTATGTTGTATATTTTATTAGAAATGGAAAAGAGGTTGGCTTGATCAGGAATCCTAGTTAAGAGCCTGATCACGGTTTTCCTCTCCTCCAAACATTTTTTTTTCTGGTAGTCTGATTTTTATGAATTTCTCTCTCCCCTCACCCCTCTTAAAGTATTTAGCTGAAGAAGCTGGCAGATAGAGAGTGATAGACAGACAGGCAGCAGTGTGAGGCCACAGGAGTCGTTCTTTCCGAGTTATCAGTCCATCCGTCCATCACTGCAGGAGCGCTTTGATTGCCTGGTTATCGGTGGCTTCAAGGGCAGTCAGTCCATCTGGACCTTTCACAGTTTTATCAGCACCCTGGGAACGAGAAGGGGGCTTCATCATTGAGTGTACCCACAATGAAGAGAGGACTGCGTCACACAGGCCAATGTTCACATCGAGAATTCAAACATCGCTCACTAACAGTCCATTCTGTTACTGAAGAACAAACAATAAAAAAGTTCTCAAGATTAAGTTGTTAAAAATGCCTTATTATTTTTTAGGCATCAAAATGCAACTTGTCTTTAACATAGGCAATGACAGGCTTTTATTTACACTATCATGTACTTAAGCTTTAAAAATATGTGCAGTACGAGACAAGCACATCACTTTTGCTAAAGAAGAAAGTATTCTTGTGACATCATTATTTTTTTCTTTGTTGCAACATTTTCTGTAGAGTGCTGCAGTTTTAATACACATTCTGCTTGTGAAAACCTCACAGTAAATGACTGGGATGTAGGCAGTAGGAAGGCTTCTCTACATACTGGGGAAATCTACAGTGCAGACACCAGACTGTCCTGTCCTGAATCTGGACAGTGCTGACCCAGACACTTCATTTGCTACGGGCCCCTGCAGCTCTGGAACTGCACCTGGACCTCCATTTCTCTATGCTGTTTCATCTATTTGCCCTTTCTAGAACAAAGGCTCCATGGAAGTGAGAATCTTGTCTGTATTACCCACCACCATAGCCCAGTGTTTAGAAAAGTGCCCATTATGAGGTAGGTGGGTTAATTGCTCCCAAATCAGGCCCTCGAATTTTAGCTCCCAGAAACAACATCTGGACCATCTCTCTTTGCTAGCCCAGCCACAACCAGTGCATATTCACCACATTGATGCTCTTGCTAAATCGCACTTGGTATTTTCCTAAGACCTACAGACTTGTCAGACATGGTGTAGGAGACTAACTTTAAGGGCTAACTGTAGTCAAACTTAGCAGTCTCTTCTGTTAATCTTTCTATGCATTCATCCTTCAGAATTTCTCAGCAGTCCCTGAACATGCCATGTACCATGCCTTTATACAAATGGGCTCCATATGAAATGCCTCACCCCTTTCTCCTGAAAATCTATCCACTCATTCATTAATTCATTCATTCACTCAATAGTTTCTCAATGTTGTGATGTGTACATGCTGTATAAGGGGCTGGAGAATCAAAGAAAATCAGGGCACAGAGCACAGTCCAGCTGGTGTGGGAGATAGACAGGTCGATACAGCATAGTGGGTAAGTACAGAAATAGTGCTACACCCAGGGACTGCTACGTTAGAAGAGGACGTGGTGGGAGGGTGGGACGGTGTGAGGGTGAGCATTCCTGGATGAGGCAGTGCTTGGACTAAGTCTTGGTGAGCTGATTGGGTACACCAGGAAGGGGTGATGTGACATGCATTCTCGGAAGTGTTAAAAGTCAACATGGCCAGCCCCTGGAAGATAGGCTAAGAGACAGTAACTGGGATCACTGAACTGAAACAAATGACTCTTAATTCATTTTGAAGACTTGTTTACTAAAACTGTAATTTTGCATTAATAAAAAGTTACATACTGTGGTGAATATGTGTTGCTTTTTAGCCATCAGAGTTTATTTCTCTTTCTTTGATAACAGTATCCTAATTTCATTTTGGGGAATCATTTGTTCCCTGATGTGTTACGTCTAGGACTATAAATTAAAGGGCCATGTACTTTCCTTGCCAAGTGTCAAAGACTTATTTAACTCAAGCAGGATGCTCTCTCCTAGATTTTGAAACTTGGAGGCCAAAGAGAGAGCATACAAGAAATCAGAGGTACTGATCACTGAGGCACCATCACAGTGAAGGATCCTGGAGAGACCCAACTCTGATCTCTTCCCAGTCCTACAGCATTTTCAGTGAGTCTGTTGCTAGCCTAGTACCATCTCAAATATTCCTTTTCTACTTGTTGGAATCAATTTCTGCTATTTGCAACCAAAAATATTTAGCTAATAAAATGTTTCTAAAATTCAAAATCATTTTCCCCAAGTGTAATATTCACTTACTACAGAAAACTCAGAATACACAGAAAAATGTAACTCATGACTCTGTAAGCCACATATAACTAATGTTACCATTTTAAATGAAATTAAGAAAACAATTCCATTTATAATGACATCAAAAATGGTAAAATACTTAATAAATTTAATAAAGTCAAGTCAGTTTTCCCAAGAGATAATGAACCAGTTTTATCAACATGGATAAGAATATTGGAAGAAAAGTAAGCTTTTTGATACTCAAAGTAGTAGAGAACTTAGTGTAACTGATCCCATCCCTTCCTTGAGAAAACCATTTTTAATTACTCATTTTTAGTTTTAGTGATTATCTGTGTAGTTATTTCCATAATCATGCTACGGAGTTCAGTTTTAAATTTTATCGCTGACTTTCTGCTCATAGAACAGGCTTTAGCTCACCAACACCCCTTCCTCAGAATCATTTCTAGTCTGGTCTATAAAAGTGTATTTTGTTTACTAATTCTTATAGTGAGCATAACAAGCAATGTTTAAATTACTTCTAGGTGAATGCTGCTTTCTGTGACATCTCACAGACTACTGTCACTAGTTTTCTCTCTGTTGCTCCAGTACTGTATCCTTGCAGAGCTCTCACTATTGACAGAATCTGGGTAGAGGCTTGAGTTTTCCTGAATCGTGTTCATTCATTTACAAATAACAAACTTTTGAACCCATTCATTACTGTGAGGGTAAACTGGTATAACTAAGAGAACTTAGGACACAACTGACTAGACTCAGCCTGGTGCTAACTATACCGAACGGTTTTATGGTAGGTCTGTCCCGTAAGGGCATTTAAGGATCCAGTTTTTGTCTGTTCTGTTGCCCACTAGTGCTGTCCATGTCCCTATGGAGGAAGGTGGCTCTGTATCTGCTCTATACCTGCATCCAGTCTGCCAGAGAAAGGAGTCTACAGTAACTGGGCTATTTTAGGTGATGAGTCACAAGTGGCACACATATACCACTAGCCCAAATTTAAGATCAACAGCCACATTTATTGCAAAGGAAGCTGAGATATGAAGACTAGCTAGGTTGCCATATGTGTAATTAAAACCTGGGATTCTCTTCCTAAAAACTGCCATGGCATTTTGCAACCTGACCTATATTGTTCTGCAAATATGCTGGTGTGCGTTATTAATGTCTTCTAAATGACAAGTTCAATCAAAATCTGTGGTATCTGGACAGTGATGAATCACTCCCAACCCACTGTAGCCCTCACGTGCAAGACCCTATCTCCACCTTCTCCTGTCTGTCTAGACTACCTCTCCTTCCTCCTGAACCAACTCCCTCTACGCTCTCTGCCCCCTTTCCTTTCTCTCTGGGTATCCTATAATTGCTATTCTCCAAAGTTCTATTTGGAAATCTTCATGATGTGCTCATTAGTATTTTCAGCCATATCCAACATTCATCTCCATCTTGACTATCTTGAATTTTAAGCCCCTAATTGTGTGTATTTGAGATTTATTTTAACTTCCACAAATACCTCAAATTCAACTTTTCCTAACATGAATATCCTTTCCCTACAAACTGCTCCTCTTTTAGTAGTCTCTATCAAGAGGAAGAATACACCTATCTTCTGGGAAATGAGGTGCAATAACAGTTCTGCTCTTTCCACACTGTCAGTCTCCAAGTTTTCAGACCATATCCTCTTAACATTCCTCATCTGTTCTTGCTTTCCAATGGCTACTATTACTTTCTTAGCTCAGGACCTTCACGTAAACAATCTGATGCAACAGTTTCCTGTTTTTACTTCTCACAACGTGCAATTTAGACTGCACACATCGCTTGGGTAACCATCCTGCTCACTTTCCTAAAAGCCTTTCATGGCACCTTCACAAGGGAGAAAGAAGACAACACATGCAGAAGAGGCAGGATCTGTTCACCATCTACCTCTCTAGGTTGTATTTCTTGTGAAATCCTTTCTACTCTACATTGCAGCTTCCCTCTGAAATCTACTGTACCCCCTTCTCTTGCCTCGTGACTTCTCATTGTTGTTTCTGTATGGAATGGTACCCCAAATCCCTTTCACTCTTAAGACACCAAGCTTTGCGGCAGAATATCAACTGCTTCATGAATTTACATCTGTTGCAACTCAAATTGTCATAACACACACACTATATCCCCCCCTTGACTCCAAACCACCACTGACCTCTCCTTTCTTCAGGTCCTTATGAAAGAGATTACAAGTAATTCCTGTCCCAGCAACTACAATGTTTGGAGGTGTTTGCTCTTTACATACTTGTTTCCCTTTCCTAGAGTAAATGTGTTGATGGTAGAAACCAAGCTTATTGGTGTATATGTTTCCAAGGCCTTGCAAAGGGCCAGAAACAGACAACCAACAGATATTTATTAAAGTCCCTGATATACACAGGGACTAAACACACATAAGGAACTAAACATACACAATAAACAATTACATTAATATTCACTGAAGAAATAAGTACTATGAGTAGAACAACAAGGCATGTCCACTGTGAACAGGGTGTTCATTAGCATACTATATAAAATACGCATTTATTTTAAGGTATTCCAACAATGAAGTCCCTTCATTTGTCTGTGTTTAAAGTATAACTGAGGTGATAAATTTTTCTGGAGAAAGAAAAGTTGCTAGTGTTAAGTTAAAGTGGCCCAAATAGATAACCTCGTTATTATTCTAGGAAGTAATGAACTACAAATAATTTACTGCTTGGTAAAAGTTACACTTTGAGATAATCAAACCTTATTTGACAGTATATAGCAGAATATAGGAAATGTTAAAGAAATTTCAAGTCTTGCTATCTCTCTGCTCATGAATAGTTTACAATCTAGCTGGAAAGATAAGATACAGAGCCAAGAAACAACAAGTATATATCCTAACCTGCTTGGTACCTTTACTTTCCTCAGACAGCCTAACTCCATCTTATACCATCAGTTCTTAACATGCAAAAATGAGCCAAGGAAACAGGATTACTAATATTTTAAGAATAGAATAAACTTGTACTGATAATTTGATGTTATCTCTATGAAGGGCTTTTGTAGTGAAGAGGCTAATT